TCTAAGTTTGAAGAGTAAATTCCAAGTTTTGAAGAGTAAATTCGATATTTTGAAGAGTAAATTCTAAGTTTTGAAGAGTAAATTATATGTTTCGAAGAGTAAATTCTAATATTTGAAGAGAAAATTCTAAGTTTGAAGAGTAAATTCCAAGATTTGAAGAGTAAATCCGATATTTTGAAGAGTAAATTCTAAGTTTTGAAGAGTAAATTCTATGTTTCGAAGAGTAAATTCTAATATTTGAAGAGAAATTCTAAGTTTGAAGAGTAAATTCCAAGATTTGAAGAGTAAATTCGATATTTTGAAGAGTAAATTCTAAGTTTTGAAGAGTAAATTCTATGTTTCGAAGAGTAAATTCTAATATTTGAAGAGAAAATTCTAAGTTTGAAGAGTAAATTCCAAGTTTTGAAGTGTAAATTCGATATTTTGAAGAGTAAATTCTAAGTTTTGAAGAGAAAATTCTAAGTTTGAAGTAAGACATTTCCTGGTGCAGGCATTAAGCAAATGAAACATTATGCAGTACCAACTTCCGTTACCAAGCCAAAGACACTTATATTTCATGTTGGAACCAACGACTTACGTAACAAAACACCAGAAGATTTAATAAATGCAATGAATGATCTTGGTGAAACGATCCATAGACAGAACAACGATCTGGAGCTTATATGGTCGGAAATAATAACTCGAACTGATGATCCAAACATAGCAGAAAAGGTAAATGTAGTCAATGCCGAGTTCGCTAAATTATGTACAGATAAGGGCTGGGGACTTATTAAACACAACAACATCAAAGGAAGTCTTCTAAATAACTCAGGTTTACATTTAAATAAACATGGAACTACTACATTAGCTAAAAACATAAGACAATTTCTTAGCAGCCATTGACTAGATCCTGAGTTTTTAAACACTACGGATCCTAGTTTAAAGATAAAGAGCAAAGCCCAGCAAATAACTTTAAAACCAAACATAATAAAAGTAAAAATTTAATTAGCTAACGTTTCGTTGTTTACAATACAACATCTTCAGAGCAATCTAAATGAATTTACAGTGTATGGTATATATATTTACAAAATGATGGTTTACTATTACAAAAACGGTTAAATAATTTGAAAGAACAAATGAACAGAAAGAAAGGAAAACAACTTATCAGTAACAAGTTAATAAGTAAAGATTAATGTTAAGTGCATGGTTAGTATAGTTAAGGTTAATATTACATAACTAAAATAACTCAAGAGGGGTAGATCTAATATTAGCATTAAGGACAGGGTTAATTTGAGAAATTAATAGGCTTTCACGGATAAGAAGATCCCATTCAGAAGTGCCTGATGATTGAATTTTGAAATCGGAAGCGGAGACTAGGTGTTTGTGCATGTGTTTGTGAGCGAGTATACCAGACATGGTTGAGATAGAGCGTTCTTTTCCAGTCAAAGGCGAGACTCCCATATGCTCTGAGATACGTGTGTGAATGTGTCGGCGTGTTTGGCCAACATACAATGCGCTACAGCATTGACACGTGAACTGATACACAACATGTGATCTCAGGGCAATGGGAATCCTGTCTTTAAATGGAAAGAAACTAGAAAGGCGACAAGAAGGACGGAAATCCAATGATGTACAAAAAAGGTCTCCTCTTCTCTCTTATATCTCGATATTTCAACATTTGTTCTTCTTACGTATCTTTCCAGCCTGAAATGGAAAATTTTAAGAAAACCTTTTCTTCCAATGGTTTTCCTAAAGCACTTATAGATAGTTGCATTAGGACATTTCTTGACAGGATTTACAACACCAAGGCCAAGGTCCATAAATGTTCCAAGAAAATTGTTTACTTTTGCCTTCCTTTCACTGGACATCATGGTCTTCATATCCGTACACAACTTAGTAAAGCTCTTGCTTCTGCTTATCCACATATTTCCATACGTGTTGTTTTCCGTCCTTCTTGTCGCTTTTCTAGTTTCTTTCCATTTATAGACAGGATTCCCATTGCCCTGAGATCACATGTTGTGTATCAGTTCACGTGTCAATGCTGTAGCGCATTGTATGTTGGCCAAACACGCCGACACATTCACACACGTGTCTCAGAGCGTATGGGAGTCTCGCCTTTGACTGGAAAAGAACGCTCTATCTCAATTAACCATGTCTGGTATACTCGCTCACAAACACATGCACAAACACCCAGTCTCCGCTTCCGATTTCAAAATTCTATCATCAGGCACTTCTGAATGGGATCTTCTTATCCGTGAAAGCCTATTAATTTCTCAAATTAACCCTGTCCTTAATGCTAATATTAGATCTACCCCTCTTGAGTTATTTTAGTTATGTAATATTAACCTTAACGATACTAACCATGCACTTAACATTAATCTTTACTTATTAACTTGTTACTGATAAGTTGTTTTCCTTTCTTTCTATTCATTTGTTCTTTCAAATTATGTAACCGTTTTTGTAATAGTAAACCATTATTTTGTAAATATATATACCATACCTGTAAATTCATTTAGATTGCTCTGAAGATGTTGTATTGTAAACAACGAAACGTTAGCTAATTAAATTTTTACTTTTATTATGTTTGGTTTTAAAGTTATTTGCTGGGCTTTGCTCTTTATCTTTAAACTAAGATTTCCGCCTGGTGTATCAATTACTACGGATCCTGATTCAACATTTTTGCATATCGTAGATCAAATAAACACACAGTCTAGTTCACGACAAACAATGCAAATAAACAGCACGCCTTATCCAAAACTGAAGGGCTTTAAAATTGGCCATCTAAACGTTGCAAGTCTATATAAGCATGTTGATGAACTAAGAATTTTTATGAACGATAAAATTTTTGACATATTAAGTATCAATGAAACTAGACTTGACGGCACTATTGACAACAACGAAGTTAATATCACAGGTTATGATCTCATTCGGAAAGACCGAAATCGAAATGGTGGGGGTGTCGCAATTTATATACGAAATGTTATTCCCGACACTATTTGCAATGACTTACTTTCAAGTACAGTAGAAGCTATTTGTATTGAAATTAACAAGCCTAACAGCAAACCTCTACTGATCTCAACATGGTATTGTCCTCCCGATGCCAATATAGAATTACTTGTCCATTTTGAAAATTTTTTACAGAACATTGATGAGGAGGACAAAGATTTTGTTATAACTGGTGATTTTAATTGCAATTTTCTGTCAACTGAAAATAATAACCAACATACAAACAAATTGATTGAGTTAATAAATGAATACCAACTACAACAGCTAATCACTAGCCCGACAAGAATTACTCCTAGCACTAAAACTCTATTAGACATTATTATCACAAAAATAGGCGACACAAAAATCATTGAATCAGGGGTCATTCACCTCGGAATTGGCGACCACAGCCTGGTTTATGCATGCAGAAAGGTTAGCATTCCAAAAGCAATACCTAAAGTAGTAGAAACAAAACAATTCAAGCACTTTAACATTACCAATTTCCAGCAAGACCTTAACCAAGCACTTAACTCAACTTTGTTTTACAATTGCATTGATGCAAATACTGCCTGGTACACATGGAAGGAAATATTTTTGGAAATTGCTGACATTCATGCCCCAGTGCTAAAAAGAAAGGCAAAAAGTGAATACAACCCTTGGATGACAAACGAAATCAAGAATCTAAGCTATCATAGAGATTTTCTAAAGAGAAAAGCAATTAAACATAATTCGACAAGATATCATGAATTATAATATAGTCCTCCACCGTATATGAGCTGTTTTGCAATCTGATTGGTTGAATTACTCGCCGTATATCAGCTCATATACGGCGAGTAGCGAAAAACAAGATGGGGGGCCAAAAACTACATGAGTTTTGCAAAGCAGAAAAAGGAAAATATTCGCTTTGAGAAAAATAATAGTACAAGGAAAAACTCTCAAAAAAAAATTTGACAGGTTAGCAAAATACATTTATTACGTAGAAATTAGTTTAAATACAAGTTTTTTAAAGAATTAATACCGAAACAGCAGCGAAAAAACATGTTCATTGAGAATATAAATTGTTCAGAAAAGTTTGCAATGAACGACAAATAAATTTGCAGTCAACAAGCACTTACTATAGTACCAAACATCTGTATAATATATATGAGCTTTCCTGTGAGATATAGAGGTTCTAAAACCATTTCTTTCACTTTGTCTTCGAGTTGTAAAACAAAAGTATTTCAAGTTTTCAAGCGGTTTTTGGCCGAAAAAATTGTCAACCCATTGTAACAGTGAATAATTAATTACTGCTTCAGTTAATGGCTATATTAGACTATGTTACAAAACAATTATACCATTCGCTCTCGTCGTATATGGCTGATAGCCGACTCGGTGCTACGCGCCTCGTCGGCTATCAGCTCATATACGACTCGAGCTCATGGTATAATTGTTAACTATACAAGAATTGCAGAAATCGTGTTAAAAATCTTATTAAAGATACTAAAGCTATATACTTTAAGAACAAGCTAGAAAGTATTACGAACAGTAAGGAAGGATGGAGAACAATCAATTTACTATTGAACAAAAAATCTAAGTCCACATTAATTAACGAATTAAAAGTTGGGGATAGTATAGTTACTGGTGACAAAAATATTGCAACAGCATTCAACAATTATTTTTCCGCAATTGGTGAAAAATTGAGTGAGAATTTATCTTGCAACAATACCGACCCTCTTAACTACGTGACACCAGTGACTGAGGTATTCGAGCTAAATAATATAATAATGGATGAATTAAGTTGCGAGATATTCAAAGCAAAAGCCGGGAAATCAACAGGTTTGGATAAAATTTCAAATAAACTATTAAAAGCAGCCGGGGAGACCATTACCGGCTCCTTAAGTCAAATTTTTAATCTATCTATCGATACCGGAATTTTTCCAGACGATTTGAAACACACTAAGGTAACCCCTCTTTACAAATCAGGGGACAAGATGGATTGCGATAATTACAGACCTATCTCAGTAACATCAGCGGTAGCAAAAATTTTTGAAAAGCTGGTCTCTAGGCAAATCAATCTGGATTTCGCACTCAACACTCCACAGAGACTGCACTGTAAATCAATGTCTTGTAAATATGGACCAAGGCCTTATTAATGGTCTATTGTTTCTTGATCTCAAAAAAGCATTTGACATTGTGAAAAAGCATTACAATGGTTTGTTTCATATCTGAGAGGGAGAAAGCAAGTTTGCAAAATTAATCACGAAATATCAGATGGAGCTACAATTACTTGCGGAGTCCCTCAGGGTTCAAATCTAGGACCACTGATTTTCTTACTTTACATCAATGAGTTACCAAATTGCTTAAGGTCTACAAAAGCATCAATGTTTGCAGATGACACTAATATATCCTGTGACGGAAAATTAGCAACTGACATTCAACAGAAAATTAACTCAGACTTGAACAGTGTTCATAATTGGCTATTACTAACAAACTAACCTTAAGTATTGAGAAAACAGAATATATGATTGTTGGTTCGAGACAAAGGCTTAATCAAATAAATTCTGATCCTGACATATTAATAGGAGATCATATGATAAAGAGAGTTTTTAACAAAACATTCCTAGGAGTGGTCCTTGACGAGCAACTTAATTGGCATAACCATATAGATAATCAATGTGCAAAAATTTCAAAAAACATTGCATTTTTGAGAAGAGCAAAAAGTTTTCTGACAGAAAATGCCCTTATTACAATGTACAATTCACTAGTCCTACCACATTTCACTTACTGGTCAACAGTTTGGCAAAACGGAAATATTACCCACATTGACAAATTAAGTAAATTACAAAAAAGAGCAGCACGTGTTATCACTAACTCAGGGTATGACATAAGATCAACAGAGATCTTAAGTAGATTGAATTGGGAGCCCATTGCAAATATCCTCGAACAACGTGAACAAACAGTGACATTTAAGGCAATTAACAAAATGACACCAAAATATTTAACAGAAATGTTTACTATGTCCCAGAACGACAATTATGCATTGAGAAGTAACGAACGAAAACTTCACTGTCATGGAATAAACTTCCAAACGAAATTCTCGAGGAGCATGAGCATCTTTCATTGAATCAGTTCAAAAGGCTTATTAAAAATTGCTAAGATAGCGAAATTTTCTCGAATGTTTATTTGCATTGTAAGGTCGTTATGCATGTTATACTTCAATTTGAATTAATGTTAGTGTGTTATACTTTAGGTTTAGATTTAGTTTTATATCTTTTTGATAGTTTTTGACCACGGCTCTTTGAAAAACAGGCAACTGAAAGGCTACCGTGGATAAATATGTTTAAATAATAATAATAATAATAATAATAAAACGTCCGCCAGTCCGCGTCCAGTCCGCGTCCAGTCCGCGTCCAGTCCGCGTCCAGTCCGCGTCCAGTTCGCGTCCAGTCCGCGTCCAGTCCGCGTCCAGTCCGCGTCCAGTCCGCGTCCAGTCCGCGTCCAGTCCGCGTCCAGTCCGCGTCCAGCCCACGTCCAGTCCGCGCTTGTCTTTTATCCACACCCTCTGAAAACACAACTTGTGATGTTGGTTTTCCTTAATAAATACTCTTATCAATCAGTCAATCAATCAATCAATCAATCAATCAATTAATTAATTAATCAATCAATCAATCAAAATTTAGGACACACAAACATCTTGACACATGAAATTCACATACCAATTAGGCAACTCCTCGTACGTCACATTCCTTATATGCCCACCCACAAGAGGTACAACTAAGAGCTGTCTTATGAATATATATGAATAAAACATCATATTAATGAAACGTAATATCAATAAAATAATCAATTTAAGCAAAGCTTTAGCTGTTAGTTAGCTTTAACTTTAGCTGTTAGTGGTATAGCTTGCATGGTTATGTGGATCCTTTTCGCGTACTTCATGTCGGGTTGGTCATTCATATCGCGATTTCATAATGCAAACAGATCCATTGAATTTGCGTTAACGGTCCACATAACCGGCTAATAATTATAAGCGTGTCGTAGCCTGACTTGGCCGCGTCGGCAATGAACTGAAACGAGTCTGTAACTAGTTTTTCCAAATAAAAACTACAACAAAAGTTTAAACGCTTAACGAATCTGCCTTGCTTTGACATGCTATAAACGCAAAGAAAAATTATTAAAAAAAAAAAAGTCTCGCTATTTCCTTGCCATGCAGTTTAGTTTTATCCACCCATTTTTCACTTTATTGCCGAACTGGTTGACTCTGTGTTGCTTCCCGTGGCGGAAACGACAACCTATACTTCGTGTAGATTGTCATTAATGGCAGGGAAGTGCTGTCCGATGGACAACACTTCACTACGTGAAGCGCAATCACTGCTCATCCTGGTCGCACTGAAGACCTGAATGAGCAGTCCTAGAGACTCGATGTGGTTCGACGGCCTGACGGATCTGAACGGGGGTTTGCCTGTTCCCCTGTTATCTAGAGGTCCGCCTGTTCCTCTAGAACAACCTTCAGTTTTTGCGTGTATCTTCAACCAGCTTTGAGTACCCTGGGTAATGTGCCCTATACCAATAGTTGTTCACCAGTCCAACTAGGTCTCAACTCGCTGAACGACATGCACAGAGTCAAGCATGCCCTCTGCAGTCAAGCATGCCCTCTGCAGTCTATTCGCCTGTTTCTCTAGATAAAACTTAGGTTATAGCGAGAGCCTCTAGACAGTTCGGCCGGAACTGTTTTCGAGCACTTCTCTGCCCAAAATATATGCCACAAAATGTGTTTCAAGTTATTGTTGTCCTGCTTAGTGGAGCTTATCTATCTCTTTCCAACATATTCAACTTCATTAAACATCATATAAACGTTATATATTTAAATTATTGCACTTACTCGTATAAATCATAAGAGCTTGCATTTACAATGAATGGCTTCAAACATCGCTTCGAACGATGGTTCACAACATAAACAACATAGTTTGCCATTGTTCAAATATGGTGAATAAACTGACAAAACGAAAATATTACATAGCGTTCCTACGAAAATAACAGCAAGGATTGCGGGCGCGCGAGCGGAAAGACGAGAGAGGAATAAATTAATAGAAGGGATGAAACACCGGTGTTTTTGTAACTCTTGGTTAGTTTATATATTGATTAGTTAGAAAGACATAGTTACGAATGAGCGGTGACTTTTTTGTAATGTGGGGTATATGTGTGCCTTTAAATTGCGTATATGTATGCCTTCATATTAATTAATATTATGATTACCTTTTTCACAGATCTCTCCTTCGTATCCCTTCTTACATAGACAGTTGAAAGGTTTCTCAGGATCCCAGATCATTGTTCCACCATTGCGGCATTCATTCACTTCTCCTCTGCACGATGCCTGCAAAATAATTCATTGCACGATCACCGTGCAAACATACTTGTATCTATTTTAGAGACTGACAAAGTTTAAATACGGGATAGATTTTTTTCTTTAAAATAGTGGATTCGTATTTCAACCAACATTTGGGTACACTAACTCCCTTTTACAGTTGAATGTCAAACGTCAAAATGTCCCTATTGTTATTTGTCTGCTCTGCACGGCAGGCGATAATCTGGCACGGGTAATACCGAATATTCTCAAATTTAGAACATATGCATGGGTAATACGCCTTAAGGTGTATGCTACACGGGTGTCATTTGGGTCATGCAAGCAACGCGCATATATAATTCAGAGCTTTAATATAGTCAAAACACGACAATTTTATGTGAACTTGTAAAGTCTGTGAAAGAAAATACGCCCGCTTGTTCAAAACCTCCTCATGTCCAACTTTGAAAAGGGGCTACATAGATCTACTGGAATTATCAAATAATTTACCAGACCGTTTGCCGAAAATATCTTAGAGCGATAAAATTGAGGTTTAGATATATATGCGTAAGGATGTATATACATGGATCGATTCTGGTATTAATGGGAAGGTATACTCTTTGTCCACAAATTTTGTAAAAAGTATATGTAATTGCTTACCACGTGACTTCGGTCTACATTATCTTTGATGAACGTCCAAACTCGCCTTTCTAATTTGCTGGCATTATTGTCAAATTGATGTTCAGTCGTATTTGTTAACTGACAGTTCCATTCATACTCCTCAGACATCTCCTTGTAGTTGAACGCAACACAGAAAAGGTGTAGTGCGCAATTAAGGCCGCAAACCTGACACTTTGGTTCTCTCAATTGAGCGATGATGTTTGTTTTTAATCTAGTCACATCTAAAAAAAATTAATTTATTCATTTGCCGGTTTCATATATGACGTCACGTGTTGGTCAAGGGTCCGTGGCAAGGGTAAACGAGGGCTGTTATGTTGTCAATATTGTTTGATATTGGCTTTTAGACCGCGTTTACATGGTACTGGATGCATTTGGAACCGGACTGAAACTCGTCCTTTTTCACCTGTCCGAATTCGTCCTGTTAGAGGGTCTCAAATTAATAGTAACATAAGATCCGTCGACAGACATCTTGTTTCCAACTCTTTTGGTTGACTTAATTAATTAATTTCAATGATTGACTCCTACTTGAGTTAAATTATGCTAAAATATCACGTTATTGAAACAAAATATCTGTATTTCCATTTTCCTTCGACAACCGTAAAGCAGCTGATATTTATTCTCTTGCATTTAGTTAAACACATCAATCATGTTCTCTGTATTATGCCACTGTACATCAATTACTTAAAATTTTCTTGTCTTTACTCCGGAATTGAAAAACAATGTTTCATATATATATATATATATATATACATATATATACATATATATATATATATGTACTATTTAAAAAACGAGCAGGAGTGTTTTATTAGGTTTAAAGCCACGAGCTAGCGCGCAACGCGAGTGGCTTTTGACCTAATAAAATACGACCCGCGAGTTTTTTAAATGACTTCAAAAACGTATGCATAATAAGTCAAATCTTTATATAAAAATCTTTATATAAAAATCTTTATATAAAAATCTTTATATAGTTTGCATAACAATGGTCTTTTGTTAAAGTGTTCTTTAGCTGGTATAAAGACGTATGCACGTGACTAATTTCTTACTCAAGATTGGATAATTGCTTGATGAATTATTAATGAGTTTTTGAAATATATATATATATATATATGTATATATATATATATATATATATATATATATATATATATATATATATATATATATATATATATATATATAGTACAATCTGCAGACATGCATGTTTCTGCAGACATGCATATATATATATATACGAGTAGGTTTGTGTATACGAAACGCAAAGAATGCTCAATACCATAAAGATAGAGCAAATGTAGAATTTCGCTTACCTCAAAATTCCGCAACAGTCTGTTTCATCAGTAAAGAATCAGTAAAGAATCATCAGGCGTACCGCCTGATGATTCTTTACTGATAAAACAGACTGTTCCGGAATTTTGAGGTAAGCGAAATTATATATACATATATATATATATATATATATATATATATATATATATATATATATATATATATATATATATATATATATATATATATATATATATATATATATATATGTTAGTTGTGTAATTGTTCACTCTGTAATATGTTAAGATGAAAATGTTCTAGAGTGTGTATTATATAATTTCCATACCCAGCGCAAGCAGAACCAGCCGCGGCAGACAACATCTTTCTGCTTGCGCTGGGTATGGAAATTATATAATACACAATCTAGAACATTTTCATCTTAACATATTACAGAGTGTACAATTACACAACTAACATAACACTTGCAGAACTAGTATTGCTCGATGCTGAATTAATATAAACGAGTATATTTGTGACATTCAGTATATATTTCATAATTTCCAGTCTTAAATCCGTCTGACCGTGTAGCTCAGTAGGTAGAGCGTCGATCTAGTAATTCGAAGGTCGCGGGTTCGTGACCCAGCCGCGGCAGACAACATCTTTCTGCTTGCGCTGGGTGTGGGCGTTATATAATACACACTCTAGAACATTTTCATCTTAATATATATATCTAACTACAGACGGTACCGTTTCGGCCTTATGGGCCTCATCAGTGTAGTGCTGATGAGCAGGATGAAAGTAACTGCTATTTACAGTTACCTTTGATGCCTTACGATTGTGGGACATCAAAACCATGCCAGAGCGCTCAAACTGCAAGCAGTGAGCGTGCGCAATGCGTAAGCGGCATGGCTCATCCTGTAGAGCGCTCAATATGATATATATATATATATATTTTGAACGTAAAGGATACAGCCTAAACCCAATTTATATGGTCTTGGTAGACCTGACTATACCCCAAACAACAATAAACTTCATCAAGTATAACGCATTCAAGATGCAGTACCATTTCTGGCTATTACTAGGTAGACATATTTCGGTCTAATGCCTAGCAAGCTTGTATATATCTAGCAAACATAGCATTAGAATGTATTCCCTCCACTCGTGAGCTTTCAAACTACTGTCACATATAGTTTGACTGCAGCCAGAAATGGTACTGCATCTTGAATGCGTTATACTTGATGAAGTTTATTGTTGTTTGGGGTATAGTCAGGTCTACCAAGACCATATAAATTGGGTTTAGGCTGTATCCTTTACGTTCAAAATCTATATATTATTATCCAAGTATGTTGTCCACAACAAATTATATATATATATATATATATATATATATATGTATATATATATATATATATATA